CGCAGCGGCCATAGTTAGTGAAGTAAAATACACAATCATTGCAAAAATGGCAACATAGCTGGGCGAACTCCTTTAAAGGAGGTTGGCCGTATACACTAGTCCCAATAATACATAAATGGCTTAGTCGAACAGACGGAGAATTAAACTTTCATATAACGCAGTTCCACGGATGCTTCCGGAAATATTTACACCATTTCGGCCTAGATAACTCACCGCTATGCCCACAGTGACAGGTGGTCGAAGACGCTGAGCATGTCGTTTTAGTTTGCCGTCGTTTTTCGGAAATCAGATCCAGAATAGCATCGTTTTCTGAACATACACTACGACCCACAGTGTTTCGACTATATGGGGGCAGGTAGAAAGAGGTAATGTTGACAGTTGATTAAAAAAAAATCGATTGGGCTAAGAGAGGGGGAAAAAAGTCATAAATACAAAATTTCACATAATTTACTCAACCCCTCTCTCCACGAACGGAACATTTCCAAAAATATACTGCAATCCGCGCGGTACCGACTGATCAGTTTAGTTTCCTTTGGCGCTTAACCCATCAAAGCAAGTGTTGCTTTTTGAACTAAATACATATAATCAGTTCTTTAAGTCTCGTGGAATATTCAGGTGAAGGTATTTATCATTTATTTTTATTTTTATTTTTTTTTTATTGTTTTATTAAGTCATGAAATTAAACACATGTTTTAGAGAATTATATGTTGTTTTCGGATAATTGGAACTTTTCACGCGACTTTGCAAATATAGATATGTTTGTAATTTTCAATTTTATTAATTTTTGATGTTCAGCCAATTTTTGCATAATTTCGCGAAAAGAAATTTTCGAACATGGAAAATTCTCACAAAACATTGGAAGAAAAGATAATCTGCCTTATCCTGAGTTTCGCCTGAAAAAAAATTCACCCGAAAATTTGTCATCCGCCCACAGTAAAACCATGGAAACCAAAAGTGAAAAGTGAAACGGTTCGGGGAAAATTAAACTCTTGATAAGGCTGAATATTTACACCCATGTAATTTTAAAGTATAGTCTTATAGATGTACCAAAATTCTATCACATTTATTGACCGGGCCTATATTTTTGTGAGTTTCGGACGTTATAGTGATCCAATCCTCCCCATATTTTATAGTTAGGGCTTTCTAACAAAAGAGAGTTAGTACAAAATCGAAATCGGATGAAATTTAATGTTTCCGCCCACAAGAGTGGAGAGCGTTACAATTATTCCATCTTTACCAAATTTCACAATTCCCTATTTCTAAGTAAAATTTGAGCACATGTCAAGTTTCAGCGAAATCGGTGCAGGTTTACTATTGTTTCCCACTTCCTCCTTACATCCGAAACACTACGACCTGAAAATATAGTTGACATCGAAGCATGCTTAGGACGCCGCAATAACACAGTTACACCAGCAGCTAAGACGAGAAGGTGGTATAAGAAGAACCATGCCAAGAAGGTGAAAAGCGCATAAAAGTAGGTGCACATGAAACGGCGCACAGTGCACCGAACGTAGACAAGAATTCCAGAGTATAAAATCTTGGAACTTGGACTTTTTGGTATAGTTAATTTGAAAGTCAAAACTCCAATTAAGAAAAATGTATAACTTATCTTGTCATAAAATATATACTAAGCATTATACATAACCACAAAACTATTTTCACTTCGCCGCTTGGCATGTAAAAATAGTTCTAAAAAATTTTTTAAGTTAATCCAGCTTTTTTCGGAATTGGTAACTGATACGAAAAGACCGATTTAATTTTTGAAATTATCGTGATGCAATCCCTTTAGGAGCAAAATTTCAACAAATTTCGACCCTCTTTCCATTTTTGTCTGAAAGGGTACGAAGTGACCAACCAGGGTGGATTTATTCTTTTAAAATACATAACTTTTGTGAGTAGATGCTACTTGTACGTATTAGTCAAAAAGAAATAAATGTTTAACTGATTCAAATTAAATATATAAAAAAAAAAAAAAAAACAAAAACAAATTGATTAAAATTTAGACTTTTGATTTCGTATACATATAAATAAAATACAAATATTGTATCTGGAATAATAAACGTTTTCAGTGTTCACAGAAGACCGAATAGCTTTGGAATATGCTTGAAATGATTGGAATTTTTATTTTGCCCCCAATCACTTTGGGAATTACCAATGAATGCCGCAAATTCCAACAATTTGCGAAGAATTTTCTATACTCTAGTACATACATACATATATATGTATATAGGTACCCTGTGGGGAAAATCTCTAGTTCTGAACTGGTCTGCTTCTAATATATTTAGGGCCAGTACTGGTTCGCGATAAATCTCTTTAGCATACAAACAACCGGCGAATTTAACATGGCGGTGTCCTAGGAAATGTCAATTGTCCCCCGCTCTCTTTTCCGATAGTTCCGAACTAGTTATAAATTCTAAGGTTCCGAACTAGTTCTCAAATCGATAGACGAAAAAAAAGTATTATGATTTTTCAATCTTTTTGGTTCTTCCGTGCGTGCGATTTTCAATTATTTTCAAACAAATGTGTTTTCAATTTGAAATTAAATTTGTTTGAATGGTTTTAAGAAATGTACGTTTACATACCTTTGGCTGTAACTGAGTTTGCAGAGATGCTTGCTGCTATTGGTTAGATTACAGAAGTTCCCAAGATATTAAAATGTTAAAACAAATTTTTGTTTTGTATTACCAAGCTATTAAAAAGCATCTGCGAAGTGCAGAATGAAAGCGTATTTGAACAAAAAAGCCGCCAAACACATATGTATGCAAAGTAAACAAGCCCCCGGCTGCATAAATTTTTCGATAGTTCCGAACTAGTTCTAAATTTGTCACCTTAGATATAGATTTCTAATGGAAAAAGTGAAATTAAATGCTTTTTTTTAAAGTAACACAAATCGCTGATTTTGCACTGGTGGGGATCTAGTTACTATCGGACTGGTTCGTTTTTGACGATAAATATCTAGTATGAAACTAGAAATTTGATTCACTAGTCCACGGCTTCCCTGCAGGGTAGGTCTGAAATGACTGAAAACACAAGCTAGCATACCAAGTATGTATGTATGTACATTAGAGTGGTCAACCAAAACAATTTTCCTAGATAGGGTGTGGGGCACCTTCCAGAATTTTTCCTCTTGCCGAAAGAGGTGCTGGTACTAAACCCTACGTTTCTATGTATAATTTAGAGGATGCTCATGATATTGTGTATTTATATTACTCAAACAATTGGTTAAGTAACCTAAGAACATTTGAAATTTAAATTACCTAAAATATAGCACAAGCTTCAGTTGTCACGGCAACAGTAGCTTTTTTTAAAAATCACCAATATTTTTGCCAGTTTTTCAGCGATATAGTAGCGCATTTCAAGATCATTGGGCAACCTGTATTGGTTGCAGTAGAAAACTGAAAGTAGGTACTGGTATGAAAAGGAAAGAAACTAAGGGGGTGCCCCGTTTTCTAGGATGAAAATTCTTTTCCCCATACAAAAATTGGACCACTCTAACGTACATCCATATATAAATTTATATCAACAAATGTGCACGCAAATATAGCCAATCGTACATACATATACACGCACATATTTACGAAAGCCAAATAACACCATAGCAAAAACGAATTTCAAATAAAAACATTCATACATACAACTACATACATAAATAGATTCACATATACAAAAATAAAATAAGGTAAAGAGCGCATAAATACTAAAACTTGTTTTGACTACGAAACGCGAATGAACCACCGCCTAAGCTGCGCAATCGATTCGAGGCGCGGGTTGATCGTCGCGGGAGGACAGTAGCCAAAGCCAAAGCAATACAAACAGCAAAAGCAACAAAGCAGCAGGCAGCCTTGTGCGCCAACGGAACACTGACTCGCTGGATCGCTTGATTGCTGTTGAATCTCTGGATCGTTGGATCGTTGGATCGTTGGATCGCCGCTACACCGGCTATAGGAATGAGTAAAATAAAGTGAAATTTACGGTGCACCAAATACCATTGGATGCGATTTCGCGCTGCAATGCCAAAGTATGCAGAGCGACATACCAAATCAAGCCAAATTGAATCGAACCTAACCAGACTCACGTACTCGTACATTATGGTGTCCCAAAGAAAAATGAGAACATTTTTCATGCAAAATCGACTTGAAGTTGAACATTTAGTTAAAAATAGCTTTTAGTTTTTCACGTTCCACCTCAGTCGGGTCTACGTAACCGGAAGGATGCAGATTTATGGCTGGTCTAGGACCATCACTTAAGCGAAATTCTACAAATTTGTTTGAGCACTAACAATAAAACTTTCTAATGATGTCTTTCGTTCTTTTGAAAGGAAGCCTTTCATAGGACAGGAAATCTTATTACATTTAAGGAGCAATTCTTGTATATATATATATATATATATGTATATACATCCATAGGGTTCTCGGAACCGACTCTAACGATTTTGATGAAATTTTGTACACAGATAATGTTTTGCATTTTAAGGTTAACTGAATGGGTATTATCTCCGAGAAGACTCGTATAAGGTTGCTGCCTATTCGAAATTAGCTACAAATTAATTAAAGCATCATAATATGGTTATCAAATGGAAGGAATTTTATAAATACCTGATTAAAAATATTTTTGATTTGGTTGCCACCTATTTGAATCGCATATTTATTTAATTTTTTGATTAGCAAAAAAAGTTAAAATATTACTATTCATGGGTACCAAGAGAAGGTTCTTAAACAATGCTTTCCCTATATACAAAGTGTTAACCCTTAGGATAATAGTGTAAGGTTGCCACTTATTTTCGAATGAAAGGTATTGATGAGATCTTTGGTGCAAAAATATTTTCGATCAGGGTTGCCACGCTTCTATGTAATACAAATTTTTATTTTGTTAATTTCAATCCTCATTTTTTGTATGTATACACAGTGCATATACGCTCAAGACATTTACTATTCATCCCAGCGTATTTCTAAATAGGGTTGCCATCTTAATTTTAAAGTAAGAACTTTTTTAATTGATGACAAATGACCAGTATTTGATATTCAAACCTTGAAAACTTTAAAAAGTATACGCACTTCGAGCAAAACTCGGTCAACCTGGTACTAGATATTAAAAGAAAAATGACCGTCTCATGTTTGCTGGATTGCTCTGCAATCTCAGCGAATACCGCTAAGTTTTTAGTACTTCAATGTCGGTTTTTGTAGACTTTGACCTTCCACAAACTATGCTTAACCAGGTCGACGGTTCTTGTAGCCCTACTTTTGCCAGTCCGGGTTGGAGACACAACCACTGATGCCTAGAGATCCTACCTTTTTCACTGCTTTATTCTATAAAGTCTATGATCTTCCGGTATCTTGCAAGCATCGTTGAATTAACTTGACAACGAGCGGTACGTGAGACTTTGCGGGCCGTACACCATCGACGAGTCTCCGAAGAACTACGTTCGAAACTGGGCTTTATGAAGGAACCCGGTCTGGTTGGTCCTCGCTATGAGTCGTATAATTACTTGAACCGGCCCTAAAAGTAGAAACAGTTTTAATATGAATCTTCGGTTGAGGTTAGGTTAAGTTAAAAGTATAGAAATATTTCTTTTAAAAGTTATGTACTTCAATCGAATATTGAAAACCTATTAACGTATATTTACTACGATTGAGCTCTTATAGTATCGCACACGTGAAAAATGTTGAATCCATGCGAATTGTTGTAGCACGTTCTAGTGAACTCGATACAAGTTCTTAGCCAAAAGCTCAACATGTATATATGTATGTATGTTATTAAGACGCAAAGAAAAAACCAACTTCAGGGACACCCTAATATGCTTGTATACTCTCCAAAACAACCACAAAAATGTATACAAGCATAGTTGTGACGACAAGATATGCCTTCCTTCCCCTAAAATTTACGAGTGTAGTGTCCGAGTTTTGCAATATAGTAAACAACAACGAGTTCAAATGAACCCAAATCAGGAGGCAATTACATATTTTAGCTACTTCAGCAAAATTCCAATATATATATGCATGTAGGTTTTTTTTTCTGGGATGACGTGAACAGGGAACTCTCCTGAGTACTACTATACCGGCATAGTAGTATGCACGACTTGCCGCCTCACAGATACACCTGCGAACTAAAACCTCCACTAACCACTCTCCCCGCGGCACTGCCATTTAAGGTATTATCTCACGGGGCTGGTTGGCCAATAGGCTCGCTACATTATTTAACCGGTTCTAGCTAGTTCAAATCGTCTTAGATCTTCAAGAATTTCAGAGTTATGTGCGGACATTTAATGCCAGTTCTCTGCTGATTTTAATATATAGTCTACAATGTTGCCACCCTGCAGTTTATTTCGGGTTTCAGGGGCATATCGAGGGCAAAAGAATACTATGTGTTCCGCGTTTTCAGTAAGGCATGTGCAAGTCGGACAGTGTGGGGAATATCCATGCCTAAATCTTTTTAGCTACTCTCGGTAGGAGCCATGTCCTGAAAGAAACTGTGTTAAGTAGTAATTTGAATCTCCGTGGGCTCTTTCCAGCCATTTTTTAATGCATATAATAAGCTTATGAGTCCACCTATCTGTTTCCGATTTATCCCAACGCTTTTGCCAGATCTCCATAGAGCGACATCTTTTCTGCTCTGTAACCCTCTTTTCGGTTTAAACTGGTATTTCCCGCAGGTAAACGCTTATACACTCTTTGCATCTCGTTTACCAGGATATCTAAGGGAATCAGTCTGGCAATTACGAAGTATGCTAAGTAGTAGACTAAAACTGCCCGTATTTCCATACCACTTACTTTCAACGTTCGATAAAGGGGTCTGAGTTGGAGCAAGCGGTGCGCCCTGCGAGAAAACTGATCCTATATGCTATAAATACGGAGACCATCCGTCCTCTGTTATACGGGACAGTCCTCTTTTTTCGTCATTGGTCCTGGTAATTTATTTATTTTATACGGGACGCCACTTGTTCTGAATTTCTTCCAATGTCCGGTATTTGTCCCGTATTCGGTATTTTAGCGCCTTTGCGTTATAATGACATGTCTACGCGTTAAAAATGGCATGTCTATGCACGAGTTTTTATTTTTAAGTCTGTACGCTTGCGATTCGAATAAAGGAGCACATTCATATGTAGATGGTTTCTGAAGTTATAATTTTGCGTAGAAAAACTGGGTATCTGTGAGTATGAATCGAAAATAGACGTTAATGATTTCTAAAAGAAATTTTACTAGTATTTAGCTTTTACTTTAAAATTTCAAACTTTGCTTACGTATTTATGTGGATTCCGAACCCCACAAAAAATACACACGGTTTGCTGTTCAATGTGCGGGTGTGTAGGCAGCTTTAAAATTTTGTGAAGAGAGAAGATATTCATTAGGCGAAACTACCAAACCAAAAAAAAATTATTGCAGATTGTACTAGGGATTGTATCTTCAACATAAGAAGCTCCAAATAAGATGACTACCAGGAGAATGTTGTAAAAGTAAAGAAGTTCTCAAAGATGAAAGGGTACGTTTTACATTCAGCCCGTTCCGGATGATATTCAGTACAGTGCGCTTGGTCGAAATCCGAGTCTGACAATAATCCGTTGAATACCACTCGTGTTTAAAAAGTAGTCGCATATTTTCATCATGTTACCCTGCCTAGGAATTTTGCGGGGTAAAAATCCCGAACAAAAAGTACAAAGTTATGGAAAAATATTCTACGGATGTGTGCACAGGTAGTATCAGTAGAGCAACTGATTTTATTTTTTTTTATTACGTCTCGAAAATGCCAAATATTTTTAATTTATTCTCACAAAGATTCTAAATAGTTAAAATCTATTTGCACGTGAAACCTTTTTCTATATCAAACAAGTGATTAAATACCAGCTTTTGGAACGTTCGCCCAACTAAGCATCATAACCGCTGATTACTGGGCCTTGCAAAGGATGGATCAATGCTTCGAAAAGCAAATAAATTTACTAAGCGAGAAAGTTGCAAAAATTTTTTTTCTAATTTAAATTTTTTATTTTTTATTTTTGTTTGCATTTCACATGGCACGCGTTGATTTAGAGGAAAAAATCAGTTTTTGACACTTTCGATACCAGAAGCAACAACAAAATACACGTAAACGTGGTTTTTGCTCTAATGATACTTCCTGGCCATTTTTTTCAAAAAGTAGCTAATAGTAGTAGCCGTACTCAGAAACATTCGAATTTTCTGATAGCGATTCTCGTTCAGAACTATTAAAATCGAAAATTGCTGATTTGGAAAGTTGTTGAAGCTTCATTTTGGAGATCGATAACCCCTGACACCGACTTTTTAGAAATAGGCTTATTTTGAAACTTTCTATATACACATTTTCTATATACAAAAGAGAGGTCGAATAAGCCGTGTACACGATAACTCGATCAACAATTGAGATATCTAAACGAAATTTGGTATGTAGATTGGCCTTTACCTAAGGTAGGTTAGTATTGAAAATGGGTGAAATCGGACCATAACCACGCCCAATTCCCATACAACGGTAGTTTTTAGAAAAACGAAAACTGCTATATTTTAGTAACTACTGAAGATTATTCACTCAAAATTGATAACCGCTCCTCCGATTCCTCCAAACTTGACACAGTTGTAAGCCTTAATACAACATACCAAACAGTTGAAAATTTTTAAAATCTGACAATAACTACGCCCACATCCCATATAACAGTAATTTAGAAAATACGAAATCTTCGATAAATCAGTAAACACAGAAGCTAATTTATTCAAAATTGATGTTTACAATAATTCTTTAGCAAAAAACACGTCTATGATAAAATTTTGGAAAATGGGCGTGGTACCGCCAACTTATGACCAGGTATGTATATCTCGGTAACCGTTAGATCAATTTGCGCCAAACTTGGTACGATTTCGCCTACCACATAAAAGCAACACGTTAAAAATTATTGAAATTGGACTAAAATTACTCCCACTTTTCATATAACGGTAAATTTCAGAAATTCTTGAAACTTCGATATTTCGAAATTTAGGGACGCTAATTTACTCAAAATTGATACTACTAACAATCCCTTGAAAATGAGTAACATTATTATAGAATTTCGGAAAGTGGGATTGATACGGCCCACATCTGACTATACAAGTTTATCTCATTAAGTATAACTGAACATACTATCGAAATTGTTAGAAATAGGGGTAAACCATTCTTCTTACCATGTAATGGCAGTTTTAAGAAAGTGAAAAACTATATTCTTCTAAGCATAGGTTACAAGGTCTTATCGAGCGTATTGTGTGAAAGACTGAAGCCCACCGCCAATGAACTGATTGGACCTTATCAGTGTGGCTTTAGACCTGGCAAATCCAACATAGACCAGGTATTCCAATACGCCAAATCTTGGAAAATACCCGCGAGAAAAGGATCGACACTAACCACCTATTCGTCGACTTTAAGCCCGCTTTTGACAGCACTAAAAGGAGTTGCCTATACGCCGATATGTCTGAATTTGGCATCCCCTCAAAACTCATACGGGTATATAAATGACGTTGAGCAATACCACCAGCTCCGTCAGAATTGGGAAAGACCTATCCGAGCCGTTCGCAACCAAACCGGGTTTCAGACAGGGCGACTCCCTTTCATGTGACTGCTTTAATCTGATGTTGGAGAAGTTAATAAGAGCTGCAGAACTGAACCGCTCAGGAACAATTTACTACAAGAGCGTGCAATTGCTGGCTTATGCCGATGACATCGACATCATCGGTAACAAAAACCGCGAAGTCTGTTCTGCCTTTTCCAAGTTGGATAGGGAAGCAAAGCGCATGGGTCTGGTGGTAAACGAGGACAAGACGAAGTATCTCCTGTCATCAAACAAACAGTCAGCACATTCGCGCCTTGGCACCCACGTCACTGTTGACAGTTACAATTTCGAGAAAGTAGAGAATTTCGTTTACTTGGGAACCAGCATTAACACCGATAATAATGTCAGCATTGAAATCCAACGCAGAATCACTCTTGCCAACAAGTGCTACTTTGGACTGAGTAGGCAATTCAGGAGTAAAGTCCTCTCTCGACGTACGAAAACCACGCTCTATAAGTCACTCATCATGCCCGTGCTGGTATATGGCGCAGAAGCATGGAC